AAATAGCCCACAGAAGTGAAAACAGGCCAATCTGATGGAGGCAATTCTTCACTTGAGGAGTCCTCTCCTAGGTGTCAAGTTGACAGCCAAGATTAGCCATAAAAGTATGTACTGTCCCAGGACCCCTTTCTCTCCTTGCTTCCTGGCTGTCATGTGAGGATATTTCCTCCGCCATCTTTCTGCCCTGTCACATGCCTGACAGAGCCAGCCAACCCTGGGCTGAAGCAATGAGCCAAACTAATCTTTCCTCCTTGTAAGAGATTTTGTCACAAGAATATAAAGTGACAAGCCGGCCAGGATGACTCTGGGTAAAGGTACTTCAGGCTAGGCCTGAAGAATGGAGTTTAATCCCCAGGATATATGGTGGAAACTGACCCTAGAAGTTTTCTTCTGACATCCACTAGCATGCTGTGGCATGGATGGACACACACATACACAAAATAAGTAAATAAGTGTAATAAAAAACATTTTAAGGGCTGGACAGATGGCTCAGAGGTTAAGAGCACTATTTGCTCTTCCAGAGGTCCTGAGTTCAATTCCCAGCACCCACATAGTAGCTCACAACCATCTGTAATGAGATCTGGTGCCCTCTTCTGGCCTGCAGTGCAGGCGAACAGCAGGCTGAACACTGTATATATATACATAATAAATAAATTTAAAAAAAAATAGCCAGATGGTGGTGGCGTATGCCTTTAACCCCAGTACTTGGGAGGCAGAAGCACTTGTGAGTTCTAGGCCAGCCTGGTCTACAAAGCGAGTTCCAGGACAGCCAGGACTGTTACACTGAGAAACCCTGCCTCAAAAAATAAAATAAAAAATAAAAATAAGTAAATAAATAAAATACAAAGGTGACTAATCCAAGCTCCACGGAGCATCAAGATCTGTATAGCTCCCTAAAGTTAACTATAAAAGATTACCACAGATTTTGTAACTTAATACACACGACTACACTGTATAATTTTAGAGGTTAGAAATCCAATTCCACTGTGCTGAAATGAAGGTGTGGGCAGGGTTGCATTCTTTCCCGAGGCTCTAGGGAAGAAGCTGCCTGTATTTCTTGGCCCATGGCTCCTTCCTCCTGCAATCACACCACACTGACCCAGAGGTCCTCTCACTTGAGACATCCCTGTCTCCTTCCTATAGACACCGTGATCGCACTGCTTCTACCTCAACGACTCAGGACAGCTTCTCCTTCCTGAGATCCTTAGTCACAAGTCTGGGGAGAAGGTTTAGCTGGTAAACTACCTGCTGCACAAACTTGAGGGCCTGAGTTCGGGTGCCCAGCACCCATGCAACAGCTAGACATGGCTGTACACATCTGTAACCCCAGCATCGGGGAGATGGAGGCAGCAGCCCTGGGGCTTGTGTAAAGGCTCCGTCTCAAAACATAAGGTGGTGACTGGGGCCTTTGCCCCTCTCCATGCATGTGCATGTATATACACTCAACACCTGCATGCTCATGTGAACACATACAGGTGCACACACGCGCGCGTGCACACGCGCACACACACACACACACACACACACACACACACACACACACACGATCTTTACTCCTATCTGCGAATCCTTTGTGCCATATAAAGTACTAGTCATAGGTTGGGGGACAAGGACATAGGTGTCTTTAATAAGGTGGCGTTGTTTGTCTCACACCCAGGGTCTTGTTCAGGGCAGAGTTCATAAAGAGAGATCAGGCCATTCTAGCCACCACCTTGACTGTGGGCTGCTTAAGGCCAAGAGCGCCGGGAAGCCTGGCGCCTGCTCCTGCGGCCGCCAAGGACAGCTTGTTCTGCTGGCATGCTGTGGGGCGGGGATCAGGTGCACTGAAGCCCTCAAAGAGATTATGGCTCAACTTGAACAGCTGCCTGGCTCAGGCAGGACGCCAGACCTCACGGTTTCCTCTCCCTGTTGACTGGAGTATGGGAGAGCTATTGTCAGGTCAGATACGGGCCACTCAGGAAGTTTTAGCCTCAAGTCTAGAAAATGGATATGGGGTCAGTTTACTGGTGGACATTTCCTAAACCTGAATGTGCCGGTCCCACAGTGGTTCCCAGAATGAGACTGGAAGGTTTCCAAATTCAGGGGCCAGATATACAGGTAGGGCACTGACAGAGATGTGGGTAGGGGAAGGCTAGAACACCAAGTCAGGGCAGGAGTGTTAGAACTGAGCAGGTATGGCATGGTTTGGCAGTGATGGGCAAGGGCACTCCAGAAGGATGCGCTGCTAGGGCAAGGGGAAGGTGTTCAAGAGGGTACTGCAGGGCAGTAAAGGATCTGAAGGTGGATAAGGAACGACGGGGCCGGGCTGATTGAAGGGCTTCCCACTTCAGCCCAGCAGTTCTCAGACCCATCAGTGGTGAAACCCTTTATCCCGACAGAGCTTACTTATGGCCAGAGAGGGGTATCCTAGGGCCCTTCTCAGAGCTGTCCTCCCTCACCTCTTCAGACAGCACTCTGCAGGACACAGAGACCATACTTGGGTCCTGGGGATCCAGTCAAGCTTTAGAAATGAGACTGGGAACAGACGCCCAGGGTCCACGGAAGTGGGCATGCAGAAAAGGGTATATTTCTTGTAGCTGGGGACACATTTTAATAAGTCAGCTAAATAAGCTGCACTGATAACCTATAGGAAGCTACAAAAGTCATCCAACTATGAGGTGAGGCCACAGTTTCTCCACCTGCCGGAAGGGACAGAACTGATCTCCCAGGCTCTGGCCTCAAGACCTCAGAGCCTGTTCAGCCTACAGAGCCTGGGTGGTGCCTTTCGCACCGCACCCTCCTGCGCTGTCCCCAAGGGAGTCCGTGACTTGTGCCAAGCTTCTGGCACCAGCATCAGGAGAAAGAGGAGGACAGGGCACGTGAGCCTGGCTTTTCCAGAGTGGAGCCACTGGCTGCCATGGCTTGGGCCTTGGGTACTCAGGCCCTGGTGGAGAGAAACAGTGAAGGGAGGCGGCGGCTGCTCCTGCTGGCTCCATCTCCAGAGAGTCAGCAAGAACCCAGGACTAAAATCCTGCCGTCTGTCTTTCCTTTGCTGACTGCTGTCTCTGCCTGCCTCGTGTTGGTGCTGAGCTGACCCAGCAGGGTACAGGACCTTCCTTGTCTGTCCTCGAGGCAACAGAAACACCCGCAATGTACCAAGAAAATCTCACAGCCATCCTTGCAGTAAGGCACTTTGGCCCTGTTTCTCAAGGTTTGGAGGCCAAAGCTGAAGAAGGCCAAGTCATCTGCCCAAGGTCACATCCTGGTAAGGGGCAGCCTCTAGAATCTAAACGTGGGTTGATATGGCTCCAGTGTGGCAACTCACGTCTAGCCCAGTTAAGCTAGTAGCCACAGTCTGGAGCCTTGCCGCTCTACTTGGCCTGGACTTAAATCCCAGTGGAGGCAGGCCCTACATTTTTCTGGGAAGGAAGCTGTCCCAAGGGTGGCTCTTGCTCTGGTGACCCCAGCTGCCCCTCCGCTCTCTTGGGTGCCATACCCACAGGCTCTCCAAGGCCTTACCTCAGAAACAGGCCTGAGGCCAGGAGGGAAAACTGTCAGAGAACTCGGCAGTGGCTGAGTATAACCCAAGCTGTGAGACAAGAGGGTCACAGACTGCTGTAAGGTCAGGGCGGCCTGATGTCTGAAGACAGCCAGAGCCAAAGGGCAAAGGCGAGAGAGAAGGCAGTCTTCACACAGGCTGTGGCCAGCAAAGGCCAAATGGCAGAGGCGGCTCAGGAGTGAGGAGCCTTGCTCTGGCCGTACCCTGTCACCTTCCCAGGGTTTTTCCGGAATAGCCATGAGGGAAAGCCCAGGCTCCCGCCTTCAAAGGAAGCAAGACAGCTTGCAGGCCACATATCTCGGGCTGGCAATAGGGTAGGTCACCAGGGCCAGATGCTGGGGCTCTGACACATGCTGTATGGCCTCTGCCAACACAAATATACCCTCTAAGCACGGCAGCAGACATCACTCACACAGGATCTAAGTCCAGAAATACAGACTCCCGAAGGTGAGGACCTGACCTCCTTCCTCATCCTAGCCTCCCTGTATCACGGGACTTCAGGCAGGTCTTCTCTTAGCGCCTTGACCCGCCTGCCTGGACTGGGCATTTAGATGCCAGCATGCATGTTCTACTTTGCTGATGTAGAATAGAATAACATGAAGCTATTTCCTGCACTGCCCTGAACTCAGAAGAGTCCATGCCTCATAGAGAAAGGAGATGACTGGGGACCAACTCCAAGCCGGGACCTGGAGCTCAGCTGTCGTGGCTCTGGCGGAGCTGCTGCCTATCAGAGCGCACTCCCTCTGGCTGTGGCACCTTAGGTCAGGCAGTGCCTTGCACATGCCGGGGGCAGAGAAGAGTCGGTAGAATGAACGTCTTAGTCTTCGACACGCTCGACGAACTACCCAGATGCGGCCTTGCAGCAACACTCACCACCAAGAAGTTTCCTGTTGCTGTTGACAGTAGGCTGGTCTTTGGGCCTCCTGGTAGCCATGTATTGGCCCAAAGATGGGGTGAAGGTCACAATTCAGTGCCCAGACTTGGTTGGGTGCACCAACCAGGGAAACATACATGGTTATTTGAACTCCAAATTTGAATGTCTACATTTGGAATGGATTGTCAATAAAAACAAACAAAAATCCTGTGTTGTTGTTTTTTTTTTTCCACCCTACTTACATGAATGTGGGCATGTAACCCCAGGATCACATGTCAAGGACCCTCAACCCCATCGTCACCCTCATATATGGCCCCCATGCTCAGCCTAGGCCCAGTTAAGGAAGGGTATGCAGGCATACCTAGGCTGGAGGTAGATGATGTTAACCCAAACAATGAGCTGTTCGGTGCAGTCCCTACAGTGTTCAAGGCCATGATTAACCCTCCACACCCCTACCCCCATCACGTGCTATCCTTACACTGGGCCCCACGCCCACCACACAGTCTACCTGACTTGCTGGAGTAGGAGGAGGCTCTCAGGCCTAACCCTACATGGGGGACGAGGGCCGGCAAACACGGATAACAAAACACTGGTTTACCGTTTATTGCTCTCTCAATACTTGACTGGCCACATTTCCCAACCTCTTCACAGCAATTCCAGCGACAGGAACACCAAGTAGCCTGCTACAGTGAGGGGAAAGAGCTAGGCTGGAAACCCAGCTCTTGAGTCCGTTCTCTGCTCCCCCAGGAAGAACACTCCATCCTTGTTTCCAAGTCTCCTAGAAGCATCCGTCATGGGGAATCACAGAACCATGGGCCCTGCCTGGGGTTCTGGAAAGCGTTAACGCCTCCCTCTGAGCAGTATTCCATCAGGATCAGCCAGGCACCCAGCAGGCTAGAATCCTGGCCAGCTGTTCACAGAGTAGCCACACTATGGTGCAGACTTCTGGACATGCAGGAACCGGAGCCTGGGGAGACAGGATGAGTATCTGGGTACCATCTAAGCTCTCAGGAATGTATGAGTGGTGGGGGCTGCTGGAGAGCATGGAAGAGGTATGGCGAGGGGAACTGTTGTCTTACCTCCCACAGAAGTCTTCACGTACAGCCACAAGACTAAGGCGCAGGTCCGGCCGGCTCTGAAGCCAGCTCCTGACAAGCTCTGGGTGCCTTGGGTCCACTTCTAAGAAGATGCTTCTACACGGAGGAGAAAGGGGTCAGCTCAAGTGGTAGGACCACGACCTGTGCTTCTACATTGTCTGGCCTGCGAGAGGCAGGGGCACAATGATTGCTAAGGCATGCCAATTGCACAATGGAAGAGGAGAAGGCTGCTGTCCATACCCAGAGGCACTCAAGAGCTGGGGTGCCAAGGTCAAGATGTGGGTAATGATGTCCATGCCTTCCTCACCACCATCCAGGGCCACGGGGTCTTCATAACTGAAGAGGAAAACAGTGGCAGGTAAGAGCCTGGGGGATGGGTATGTGAAAGGGTTGACAAGGCAGGCAGGCCTTCACAAAGGGCCCCTGGGACAGACTCTGGGTTGAGAGGGAAGCGGAGGATCCATTAGCAAGTGGTTCCTAAATGGATTAGCAGGTTCTACCTTCCTCCTCTCTCTTGCCCACAGCACCCCCATAGAGCAGGGCTGGATAGATTTGCTGAGTCCCACGGACAGACAGCCCTCAGGGCATGAGGCTCCCTCAGAACCCAGCTGCTCCTGCTTTTGATCTGAGGACATTTAAAACCGATCCTGCCTACTTCTGTGAGCCAAGAAAAGAGGAGCCAGCACCCAGCCCTTATCACCAGTGCTTAAGGAGGGACAGGGGGTGGCACTGCCTTCTCCGTCCTTGCAAATGCAGCATGGCTTTTCCAGGGCCAGAGGGTTCAGTGCTGGCTTTCCCACAAGTCCTCATGGGACCTTAAACAGGGCGCCCTCCCTCTCTAGGCCCTGGTCTTGTGTGAAGTGACACATCCCTCTGGGAGTGCCTTTTATTAGGTCTCACTATGCCGATGCTAAGTCCTTCCCATGGTCCTGCAAACACCACTGCTCCTCTTTCAAAGAGGAGATGGAGCCTCAGGGACCTAGGGGCCTCCGGGAGTCAGAAGTGCAAAGGCAGACGCGGTCCCAGTCAGGCTGCGGGCTCTAATCTAGAGTGTACCTCTCAACACTGCTGTCCCGTCCGGGCCCCACCTATTTTCTCCAGATGGAAGTTCTCCAGCCCAGAGCACCCTACTAGAGTTCCCCTGCTGCTCCACCCACCCTGTACCTGCAGATCTCTGGGGCCAGCTCTTCCATGTCCTTGTGGAAGATGTAGGGAGGGTTACTGACCACCACGTCCACAGGGCCCCAGGGCAAAAGGCGTGTCCAGCACTCTTCTGTGAGCAAAGCAGATGCACAGAATGAATTGCTCCACTGCAAAGAAAAAGTTGGTAGCTCCACAAGCTGCCTTGCCCCTGAGGTAGCCCCTTCCCCCATGTTAGAGACCGTGTCTGTCTCTAGACCTGGCTAGACTTGAACATCAGCAGCCAGAGTCCCTACTTAGCAGGCTGGCCAGGGGTGGACATGCTGACATGCAGCCCTTCACCTGGAATGTCTGTGTTCTCTCTGCTCCCTGTCAAGGTCTCCTCATTAAGCAATATTCAATGCCACCTCCCACAAGCCTGATTACAAGGGCGGAGGAATGGTTTCTCTGCTCTGCACCCCGGGCCTCGCCACTTTCTGCTTTATAACCAAAAGCGTCTGAAAGCATAGGGAGGGCAGGCCTGCCCTCAGCCAGTCCCTTATGGCTGTTTCTGGGTCCCACTCGTACCAGATGCTAAACCAGGTGTATCACACCCACACAAAGTTTGGGGGCTCCATGGGTAACAAATGAATCAGAGCAGGAGCTGGAAACCTGAGGATTCTGCAAAACCTGCCACGAGCCAGGCACGGCCTGACCACCTCTTCCAGGCCGGGCGGAGACAGAGGCACATGTGTATTTTGGTCCTAAAGTTTTCTTTCTTTGTTGTTGTTGTTTTTGTTTGGTTTTTGTTTTTTTGAGGTGTTTCACTTTGTATCCCATGCTGGCCTAGAACTCACTATGTTCCTCAGACAGGCCTTGAATTCATAGGAGTCTTCCTGCCTCCCCACTGCTAAGATAACAGGTAGAGGCCACCATACCTGGCTCAGAACTGCTCTCCTTTGAACATCTGTTTAT